CCCCCCCCCCCCCCAGCACACACACAAATCCCCGTCTGGAAGTAACACGTGACTGTGACTAACCAATTGCCCGGCTCCTTCCATACAAATCTATGCAAGTAGAGAGTCTAGTGACACCAAACAAACAATACTGGACAATCTGACAGAGCTTCACCTCTGGAATTGCTTACCAAAACAAACTGAAACATGTGTACTTCCAAAAAAATCTAGATATCTATACAAACAAGTTTATCGAAATCATCAAGACCAATTTAATTCAAACAAACTCATATAACCAAATTACTCACAAATCCATCCTCAGAGATATCAATCAGCTGATAATCAGTACGATTAACATGAGGCACCTGCAAAGCATGAAATAAAATCCATTAGCGTAAATGGTAAAATCAAACACAGCACAATGATTCGCAAGCTAAATAGAGTCCATACATCACAATTGTGGGATGATGGAACAATATCTTCGAGCTTCTTGGCAGTGAAGATGTCAATTCCAACAAAGTGACACTTCGCATGGCCGTGCTTGCCTGTCTTAGAAGTTGAAACCTCAACCACCTGCATTACCAAACCAGAGAAAAAAAAAATTCAAAAAGTGGGTTTGGACCCACAGAAACATTGCTTAAAGAGTACGCTTCCAAATGAGGAAGACTACGTGCTTATCCTCTTTAATGCCTAGAATTATAATTTAGTAGCATTATTCAATTAGCCTTCTAGAAGCCTCGTTAGACTTTTACACGAATTATTGGAAGCAAGAGCACTTCCAATAAAATAAACGCGCCACGTGGTTCGTGAAGAGAAAATACCCAAATGGTAAATATGATACCGATAAAATTATGTTCTCTAGATAAAATCAAGATTCAATTACAACTACACGGGAAAAAATGTTCACACCAGCGTCCTCTCAGGAAGGGTTGGAGGAGAAAATAGCACACTGTTGAACGTTGACCAAACGAAACCCAACCATCAAGAGACTCTTCGAAGTCATAGTTTTAAAAAAAAACTCGAAAGTCTGAACAAATATTGTCGGAACAATCGACAATGGTAATTTCAACATCAGATTCATTAATTCTTCCTAATCTAACACTCAATCATACGCAATAAATCACACCGAAATCAGTACAATCAGTAATCGGGCAAAATAAAACTCTCAAATCAACCAAAGATCTAAACGCCCCATACAAAACTCAACCCTAAACAGCACAAGTCGAACCACACAAAACAACATCCAACGATTAAAAAACGAAAAAATCAAACCATCGCAAAAAAACGCACTAAGGCAATAGACAAAAACAACAAATCACCTTGCATGGACGGTTCTTGATGACGATGTAACCGTTCTTCCGGATGGTTCCGGCCTGTTGCGGGTAGGTCTTGGAGGCTCCGGCGTCGGCCTTCGATTCGAAGTGGTGCTCCTCGTCCGACATGGCTGAAGATTTAGTTCTTCTGCAGCTTCCGAGCTTCTTCTTCTATGTCAAACAGTGCGATTCGGTGGAAGCAGAAGGAAAACGAGAGGAAGGAGGAGCGTACGAGTCAAGAGGACGAGGCCGATTTATAGCATCACGTTTCAAGTGGACACGTATGTACCAATTAGGGTTTCTGACGCGAGCCCCCTAAACAATTTTGGTAATTCCTTTTTTCCCCAATTTCTGTGCGAAAACGATCTCAGCCGTCGCTTCTTTTGTTATACCTTTTGACGGTCAGATTATCCTCGACATTTTTTTAATATATTTTTATTTAGATGCTTCCTTATCTGTCAAATGACCTATCAGTTTTTCTTTTCTTTTTAATCAATTAATTTATTATTATTAATTTTTTAAATGTTACATTACCTATCACTTAGCTTTCAAGTATAATAATCTCTACACTTTAATCTTAACCGTTTATATTAAATATCTCCAACCGTTCGATTATCTTTTAAAGTCAAAATATTTAATTAAACTTTTATTTAATCTCTAAATATTTTAAAAAATTAAACCAAATGGTGTAATTTCAAAGCTATCATTAAAAATTAGAATTATAAATGAAGCATAGTTAGATAGAGTTAGGGTTTAATTATTAATAGAAATGATAATCCAAATTCACCTAATTGTTTGATTATGTCACGTCGTGAAAAATTTAACCTATAATCGAGTGGATAGTGAAACCACTTTTATTTTTTAATAAAATTATCGCTTTCTAATAAATGGGAGGTCAACATTTCATCATGTTTTATTGACAACGTAATTAAGAGATAAACATATTTTAAAAATTTATAGTAATTTCAAATTTATTTGTTTTATTATCTATTTTTTTATTCCTGTTTTAAAAATAGCCAAATTTACAAAAAAAACAGCTTTTAAAAATTTATTTGTATGGTGATTGGAAACGATCATAAATATAAAATAAAATAAAATATCATAAATAAATAAATAAATAAACAAAATTGTTATCAAAGCGTGATCAGCGGGGAATGATTTTGCTCCCTCCTTTTTTAATCCTTTATTTTAATTTATTATTATTATTATTTTAAATCTTTATCTTTTTATGAATGAACCCTACCAAGCAATTATTTTTTAGTAATTAAAATAACCCATTTTCACGAAAATAAATATATTCCATAAATCTGTGAACTTTTTATCTCTTATTTATATATTTTTTTCTAATGGGGATTTTTTTATTTTTTATTTTTTATTTTTTAAATCTTTGCGATGCCTTTTGCCTTTTTATATTTTATTTTTGACAATATATTCTATATACAAATTTAATTTGTGGACGTCAACCTCTCTTTTAAGTCTTACCATTAATGAATGGGATCCGACTTTTTAAAAAATATTATAAATAAATTGACAGAATCATTCAAAAGGCCAATTTTGAAGAATATTTAATTAATTAATTTTTATTTTATGTGATTGGACGGTTGTTAGTTTATTTTATTTATTGGTTAGCCCTCTAAACATTTTGTTACCATATTTACATTTTATAGTAATTATTATTATTTTCTGCATGGGGAGATACTTAATTTGATATTTCATAAATAATTAAGTTATACTTAAATTAAAAATGAAGTTTTGGAAAGGAATCAACCATATTTGTTAGACCATTCATTCAAATTTTACTTTAAAATCGGTAATGCGTAATTTTTACGTATAAATACTTCAAATAGAATGTTTAATATAAATTAAAAAATGACGTGAGAATCGTTCTATCTCATTTAAATTATATATTTTTTAAAATCAAATACGAGGAAAGCAACCATTTTCAAAATTTCCCATTTATAAATTCTGCACCACTGTTTTCATCTTATCCTACTAATATTTAAATTTGTAGTTAAACTATATATTAAAAAAATAAAAAATAAATAAAAAAATTAATTTTTTTTGTAAAAATTCTCTTAAAACATAGATAATAAATATAAATAAATTAATAAGTAGAGGGAGTGTATAAATTAAAATTTTAAAAATCAAATATTTTTTTTTTAAAAAAAAAGCAATTAATTAAGGTTTTTAAAGGGATTAAATGGAATCTAAAGAAAAAAGTAAAAAGAAGTTTTAAAAGGAGCCCCTAAGACTCGAACTTTGGCATATTTGCAAGCATCCAACCAAGAGTGACAAAATTCCAAATATTTGAGACTTGAGGGGGATTTTAGCAAAATTTGAGCAAGAGAGTTTGCAATGGGACAGTACCTAATTAAGATAAGAAGGAATCTGATTGCATGGTCGGTTGTGATTTTTGAATTGACAATTCTTTCCACCCTCTCATGGTCTTCGGTGCGCATCTTCAAAATAAAGTAACCTACGCCCCTGCTTTCGGCATGTCCACCATATCTCTGTTCATCATCATTCCAACCTCACATTTTAGGGTTAGAGCAACATAATCCAAAGCTGCAACAATATTATATGTTCGAACTCCTATAGTATTCATTTCTATTCGAATAATATTGATTTCTCCCTCGTATACAAATTTACGAGTCCACGAGTAAGGAAAAAACAGAAGGACATGAACAAATGATATACAACACAAAATTTTCTCAACCGTGATTTCTATGTGTTCATATCGGTTGGAGAAGAGAACGAAATATTCTTTATAGTGATGTAGAAACCTCTCTCTAATAGACACATGTTAAAACAGTGTGGCTGACGGCAATATATAACGAGCTAAAACGGACAATATGTAATAGTAATAGAATTTGGCTGTTACAAATGATATCAGAGCCAAACACCGAACGGTGTGTCAATGAGGACATTGGACACTCAAGAGGAGTGGATTGTAAGATCTCAAATCGGTTAGAGAGGAGAACAAAATATTTCTTATAAGGATGTGGAAACTTCTTCCTAATAGACGTGTGTTAAAATCGTACGACTGACGACGATATAAGTCAAAACGGACAACAGAATGCAGCATTTCTATTACACATAGTATGTAGAACGTCTCGAAATAAATATGAGAAAGGGGACAATATCTACTAATAATGAGCTTGGGCTGTTATAAATAGTATTATAGCTAAACACTGAGCGGTGTACCAGCAAGGACGCTGGGCTATCAAGGGAAGTGGATTGTGAGATCCCACGTCGATTAGAGAGGAGAATGAAGCATTCCTTGTAAAGAGTGTGGAAACCTTTCCGTAAAAGACTCGTTTTAAAGCTTTGAAGAGAAGTCCAAAACTAAAAGTTAAAAAAAAAAAAAAAAAAAAACGGGCTACGGGCTTGAGCTTGGGCCGATAGAATTGTACTCCATGAAATTAAAGATACCAATGTGGGGTAATAAAACCATCCACCATTTTTTCACTTTTCAAGTAGGATGAGTGATCACATCACGAACATCACGAACTACCACTGTCAAACCATAATTCTTAGCTTAATTCTCTCATACATACCTTAATTCTTAGCTTTTCTATGAGTCCCGATGAACATTCAACATCCAAGGGGAGCTGCAAACGTTCTAACTCGGCCTCAAACTCAGATTCGAGTTCGTCGATCCATTCCTGACATTCGCTAGCTCAGACGAAAATGATTTAAACAATTTGAACCATCCAAATGAACTAAGTGCTATGAAAGAATTTTAATGAAATGTTTGCTATCTTATGAATTTTATGAACATTTTAGATTGTTGGACTTCGAAAATTTCAAAGACTGCATACGAATTGCCAGATTCAGAGGTAGCTATGCACAATCCATTCGGACTTGGAACATTACCATTTCTTCAGTTCCTAATCGTTTTGATTATATTCTCAATCAACGCAGCCAAACATCGACATATAAAATAGCATTACCAATTCGAAATCGATTCAATCATACTCGCTCACCTGGCCCTAAAATCTCCGCCGGTGAAGACGACGAAGCGCCGCCGTCAACTCCAATCCTCGAGCACCTACATCAACGGACCTCCATCTTCTTTCCTCTCTTAACCTCCCCCTCCGCTCTCCTCCGCTTCGGTAAGCTCCCACCGAATTCGCCGGCAGGCGCTCTCCGGTGTCGGACAAACCAAAATCTCCGGCAAATCCGTCGCCGTCCTCGTCTCTCAGAGAATATCAACCACTCGGAAGAGACGGCCCGTCCCGTTGCAGGAACTTCATAAGAGCGAATGCGATCACTTCGGACGTCCTCGTTTTCTCCAGGCTTGATTAAGATCTTCAATAACTTCGTCGTTTCTGATAATGGAGAATTGGCGCTCAATCATTTCAAAGTGTTCATGATTTTTCAATTTGGTGTTAATGGCTGAAAATGAAATCGGATTGGACTCAACAGTTTCGTGTATAATTGTTAACATTTCAAATTCCCGCCAATTCAAAATTCTTTTCTTTCTTTAATTTTTATTTACCTAATTTCTTACATTTCCTTCAAATGGCTTTCCGACTTTACCTTTAAATTCTTGATTTGGTAATTTGGTAGGGCATATATAATCTAACGTCCATTTATTTTAAATATAGAATATTTCCGTTAAAGGTATATATTTCATAAAAAAATTTCTTATCTGAAACAAATGTTGAAATCTACAATATTAATGCATTTTCTGTTATTTATTATAAAATCGTTACTTACGTTCCAAAAAAAAGAGGACGACCAAGGGTATTAAGATCCTAGGGTCGAGCCTAATTTTAATTAATTGCATGTATTCGTTCGAGCTACGTGAGTCGAACAAGGACACAACGATCATAAATCCTAAGTCAACTCCCATAAATAGAGACACGTGTAAGCTACGTTACACGACTCCAACTATTCTAATACGAACATAAACCCTAGTTCGATTTATATATAAACATTGTGTTGTGACAAGCATCACAATCCCAGTAAGTTATATAGTGCAACACATACCAGATATTGTTATTTTCAAACTTGCTCGAGTTTTAAAATGTGTTATACTAGAGAGAGGTTTTCAGACCCAATCCACCACACACTAAGCTTCGTTCCGCGTTCTACTAAAGAGAGATTTTCACACCGTTCATAAAAATTCATTCATCTCTCCAACCGATGTGGGTCTCACAACCCACCACACACAATTCAGTGTCTAGCTCTAATACCATTTGTAACAACTCAAGCAGTAAGAACTTA